TAATTTTAAAATTATTTTTTAACTAACATAAATAAACGAATTTTCATTTTAGTTTGTTTTAAAAACAATTTTAAAAACTATATTGCAAAACAGTTTTTTAAAAATAAAAAAATGAGAACAAAAAATCAAACAAGCCCTTAAATACTAGTGGGTCCAAAAAAGATAAAAAGATTAAAATACCATTTACTTGTTATGTAGAATCACTATTTGTTAATTTTCTTACTTCATTTTTTAAATTTTCGATATCACTTGTAAATTACACCCTTTTGTCAAATAATCAATAACATTAGTTATTAATTTGTTAATTCACTAACATCAGTTGTAAATTACTAATTGTAAATTAAAAGATTTGTTAATAATTTACAATTGATATTAGTAAACTGTAAGATCTGTCAATAATTTACAACAATGTTATTAGTAAATCAACAAGTTAGCAATTTAACAACTGATGTTGCTGCTTAAAATTAACATGTCAACTCATGTAATTTGCAACTTATATTCGTAAATTAACAAATGAAGTAAGAAAATTAACAATTAATGATTTTGCATAATAAATAAAGGGTATTTTGATATTTTTACCATTGAAATTAATTTAACTTTTCTCTCATGGACTAAACTGAATTTCAAAAATTTTAAAACTCACAAATAATTAAGTTTCTTTCGCGATCTTTAACTGAAATTCTCCCTAAAATTTAAGTATTAATTTATTTCTAATACTCACTTCTTAAAACTCAATACTTACCCTCTGCCCTAATTCTAGATCTGGCTCCACTCCTCAAAATAATGCTACTATTATAAAACTTTTAATAAATAGAAAAATATTTATGAATTGAATTTTTGGAATAAGAGTCGTTACGCTTGAAAATGGTGGACACCGCTGTGCAAGAGGAACCCACTTTCGACTTGGGAAAAAGAAGCTGAAGGTTTAAAGTGGAATTGGTGATTCGTGCCACTTTGATTAAAAGCTAAAAGCATATGGGTTTAGGTGTGTTGTGTGTAATGGGCGGTAGCCCTTTTTATTTTTATTTTTATTTAATTTAATGCTCTTTTCTTCTTTTTCTTTTTCTTTTTCTTTTATCTTTCCTTCCTTCCTTCTTCTTCTCTTTTTTCTTTCATGACTTTCCTAAAATTTAAAATATTAAATTAATTTTATATATTTTGCTTAAATAAATTTTTATAATAACATTTTTTTAACATTTATAATATGCTAGGTTGGCAAAATACCTTAAATAATTTTATTTAATTTCAACTAACATTATTGATTTTCTTTCTTTTCTAGAAATTATAGCCCAAAATTAAGTTTTTAAAATTAACTCCATTTTTGGTAAATTTTATTTATTTGAATAATTACATGGTAATATCCATTCATCATGAAATAATTTAATTAACGATTATTAGTGACGCAGTGTTTTTACTGATGAAAATATTTTATTACTAATTTGATTATTTTTTTGGATAGTGATCATCATCATCTCTGTAAATATATTTAAAAATAAAGAAAATAACATTGCAGACAAAACTATAGTAGTCTAGAGCACTAAAAACAAAGTAACAAAACATGATGAAATTATAGAGGTTAATAATTATATTTTCTTTTAATTAAGTGCTGAAGTCAACACTTTGAGAGGTGAGAAGTTATGCAATGGTGATTTTATTTAACTCAAAATTAAATATAGACAGACAATAAAACTTACTTCCAAAGAAATCATGAACATGACTTGTTACTTGCACTTGATAAAGTAATTATGGAGTAACTTTTTAAAGTTACAATTTGATATCTTATCTATATATATATTTATATATATAATTAAATATAATAGTTTTTAGTGTTTTATGGAACAGTAAAATCAATAGTATTGTATGCTTGTAATGTTTTATTTCACTTGTTTTTAATTTTTTTTTATCATGCTTGTCTTTTTTGTCCAAATCATAATTTTTTCAAGAGCATGCTTATATTATATTTTTAAGATATGATATTGATATATTTTTTATTTTAATAATTTTCAAATTACTTTTAAATTTCTTTCTGGATAAATAATTTAAAAATAAAATAAGATGTTTATACTTTTAGTATGCACAAAAGTAATAAATTGTAAAAAATACAAAGTTATTATTAAAATAACTTATCATATATTTACTACATGGATAAAAAATAATAAATGTGTTGTTTTGAAACCAGATATATTTTTTAAAATTACTTTTTCTGAGTAATATTTTTTGTCCATAAGCCAAAAAATTCCTTAAAAGTAAAATTTTGTCCGTCTTTCTTAACTCTATTACCCAGAAAGTTTTACACCGGGAAAAATTGTGTTATAGTATTTTCGATAAAATTAAATATATTATAAGCTCTACAAATAAGTAAAATATATATTTAATTATTTATGTTTTATTTGTCTCAAGCTTGTGTTGTATAAAAATATATAAATACGTTGGATGAGTATTTGATCTCACTTTCAACTTCATATTTTTAGATTTATTGGTTTATTTTCAAATTAATTTCATATAAATTATTACATTCTGTACAATTATTAATTGTGCATTAGTGTGATTTCAATATTATGACTTATTAATCAAGATTTTATCTTATTTTTCTAAGAATAATCATGTCTTCTTGAATTATGTTTTGTTTGATTTAAAGAAAAATAGATATATGTGGATGAGATTTATTATTTTGTGAATTTCACATGAATGACTTTCCTTTCTTCTGTTCTCCATTAATTATTTGATCTTATATTATATTGCATTAAGCCATTTAAATTTGGGTTTTAATGTATATGCTCTTATTTTAGAAAAGACGACTGACAAAATTTATTAAAAGAAATATTGCAATATATAATGACTCTATTAAAAGTAGATTGTGCATTGAATATAATATAAGAGTCACACTCTATTGAGGCACAAATTTTTAATAAAGATACGCACCCATATAATGTCTAGAAACAAATAAAAAGGAAATGAATCTCTACGTTAAATCTCTTTTTAGTTTTTAATTATAGTATTACTAGAATTACAAGAATGTTTAACATGAGTTTTAACTTAAAAAATCACCATCAATAATTCATAATTCATTCTGGTAAATCGTTCATAATAATTTAAACTTTTAAAGCCTTTACGCAAGCTAACCCACAACAGTACTAAGACTGAAAGAATCTCTCCCATAACACTTAAACACAGCTAGTATGTTTTAAAAAAATAATTTGATTTGATGCTTATATTTTTCAACATGTAAAATGCAACAAATTGTAAAGTAAAATAAATCTTTTGTACTTTTAAGTATATAGAAGAGTAATAAATTATCATAAAAATAAGCTAATATATATCTCTAGGATCTCAAATTCATTTGAGTCATAAAATATATAATCACATTTAATAAATAATACTCTCAAATTTCTTAAGATATTGAGTGATAAAAAAATAAAAAAATAATTTTAAAATAATTTCTAATAAATAGAGTTGAAACTGGTTTGCTCCACTCTTATAAGCTTGGCCTTCATAGGTTCAAGCTCTTAAAAAGCCTTTTACATTAAGATTAACAATTTCTTTGAGTTTGATCCTTATTAATTGAGTTAAAGGCCACATCTTGAAGCCTATTTTTTTTATCTTATCTTTATTTTTTTAAAATTTTAGTTTGACATTATAATATTGTATATTCATTATCTATAATATAAATTATAATGATCTTAAATTCAAAATAAGTAAATAAATCATAATTTTAAAATACAAACACATATTTTAAATTGTAAATTTAATCTAAAAATTTAAATAGCTCAATTTTTTAAGTTTAAAATAAATGCAAGTTTAAATAGGTTACTTAAACTTGAGTTAGAGCCCCATTTTTAGGACTTAAACCAGTCAGGTCCAAAAGTTTGAGCCCAAAAAAACAAAGCATAAATGAGTAACTTGATGAGCTCAATCCACATTTATTCGTTATTCACGACTATACTAATATACATAGCTCATGGGTTATAAATTTTAGATTAGAATATACTCCTATTTAATTTCTTAAGTCACATACAGGATAACGAATTATAAAATATAACAAATTATTGCATAGATATGTATGTTTTTGAATTTTTAAATAATTTTTACTTACATCTTTTTTTACATTTTATTTATATTTAAAATTTTCAAGATTTTTTTTTAAAGAATTGAACTTGTTGAAATCTTCCCTTCTCTATATTACCCTTATACTGTAACTTAGGATTAATATCCCACGTACCGCATGGGTATAAAATATAGTTGCATAATTAAATCTAATTTCAGACATTAGACAATTAACATGAAAAACAACAATTTCTTTATATTTCTTGATTAAAGAAATAAATTTTTATTTTTTTATAATTCTTTCAAAAAAAATCATATTTAATACTTCTTCCAAATTATAATATAAAACATCTTCTAAAAGTATTGTTTAATTCAAAATATAAAGTATTGAATAGTTTTTATAATTATCTTTTTAATGATACTGCAACTTCATTTATTATTTTTTAAAAAAATAATGTATTAAAATTTCAATTATCATTTACAAAACTCTTGTATAAAATATCAAATGAAGATATAATTGGAAAGATATAAAATTTGTTATGAAATTAAATTTTCAACTTTTTTTTTTCTTAGAAGGAAGATAGTCTTATAATAATACTTACTCTTTCTGTTAAAAATATAAGATATTTTTATTTTTTTAAGGTATAATCATTACCTTTTTTTAAAAAATGTTATTATTAAATAAATCACTTTATATTTATTTTAGAGTAAAACACTAAGAATAAATATAAAATATAAAATTTGATTAAAAAAATAACTATATTTTTAAATATAAAATTTATTTAAAAATGTATTATATTTTTGAATCAAAGGGAGTATTACTTATCGAGGAAGTATCAACTTTCCAGATTTCTAAACCGAATCGTTATTCTTCCATTATTTTAAAGTTCTTCAGTACTTGGGGAAAGGTGGCTAGCACCAAGAGCATGATTGTACTCCAAAGCCATCGCCTTCAACGCGTCGTAGCCTCCGGTCTCCAAGTGAGCTTCATTCTCTGAAACATCTGTTCTGTAATTTTACTCATCCGGCGAAGCCACGACGTACGGCATGGCAAAATTAGCGCCTGAACAAGGAGAGAGTGATAGGATTAGCAGCTTACCAGACCCTCTGCTTCACCACATCCTATCTTTTCTTCCCATAAAAGAAGCCATAGCCAAGAGCTTGATCTTGTCCAAGAGGTGGACTCGGCTATGGCTGGCAATGCCCGCTCTTGATATTCATGACACTGGCTTTGCTACTCTTAATTCTTTCATTCAGTTTGTAGATGCAGTCTTGTTCTTGTCACATCCCAAACCCATAAACATGTTTCGTCTCAAGTGTCAGATATTCCAAGTGCCTCCTATCAGGACTAATCTGTGGATTAACTTTCTGATAAATGGTAAAGTGGAGCATCTCGAGCTATGTTTTGCAGATTTAAATTCTTATAGTCACGTTGATGTGCCTGCTTGCATTTTCCACGGCGGTACCATTAAGGTTTTAAAGTTGGCTCAGGTTAAGCTGAATGCTCGATCTGTTAATTTTCCTTCACTCAAAGTATTGCATCTGGTGAAAGTTCACTTTTCAAATGCTGAATCTGTGGCTAAGATCCTTAATGGATGTGCTCTTCTTGAGGACCTGGTATTAAAATCATGGTCTGCTCCTTTTAAAGGTTTCAACTACCCCAGGATTGGAAGGTTTGAACATTTGGTGTCGGCAGAAGTTGAACTATCTTCGATTCCGTTGGCAGCTTTTAGTGATGTTAGGCTTCTTCGGATTAAGGTACTGATGATAATTTATAGAGTAGTGACTTTTTGAGAAAAACTAATCAGTTAGTCCTTATAATTTGTTCATAATTTTGACTTAATTCTAATCCAGTCATTATAAAATTTTAATCTTCACAATTTTTGTAAGGATTAATTTGTCGTAATTTTTCATAAAAAAATCAAATTTGATAAAAAAATTCAAATTTTTATTGTGATTTTTTATGATATGATATCATGATTTTGCCAAATTAGGGCGAGCAGTTTTACAGGAGCCTACCTTTGTCCTGTGTTTGGACGACATTTTATAATTTAACTCACCTGGAATTCTCATGTCTGAGTAGTGATGTAGACAGTCTCGTGACATTCCTTCAAAAAATCCCGAAACTTGAAATTCTTGCTATTCACAAGGTTTGTATATTTTAACTTAAATTTGTGCTGACAGTACTTTAGTTAGGTTTTTAACTGATACATGCATTTACGTTTCGTTAGCTGGAAGATCCTATTTGTAAGGGAAGTTGGGTGGAATCAATATTTGGTAATGTTCCTCAATGTCTTTCAACACATCTTAAGGAATTTTGTCTGGGTGAATATAGAGGGTCAGAATGTGAGTTTGAACTTGCAACGTTTATTATGAAGAATTCAAGTGCTTTGAGAAACATTTCCATTTACAGTTCTACCAAGGAAGATGTAGATTCGAAACACCAAATGCTCAGAAGATTATCATCATGTCCTAGAGGTTCATTGAATTGCAGGCTGCTATTCCATTAAATTTCTGAAATGTAAAATGATTTTGTTGCTTGTGTCTTGTTTCTTGATTTTATTTTGGCTTATTTCCCTTTTGACTATATATCTTGGACAACATTTTACGCTGGACACTTCATGGAGCTTGTTTTAGTGTGTTTATGCTATATGTGAGAAGATAATCTTTAAATATGGGCTGTGCAGCTTTTTGACTTTTGTTTAATTCATATGATATATATCCTTCTTCTTATCCAAATTATCAGACTTTTTTTGTCAACTAAACTTGTTCTACGTATAAGATATTTAGTGCTTTTCGAAATTATTTTTTTTATAAATTTATTCTTGTATTAATTAATGTGAGTATGCAAAATATAATCTCTCACTTTTCATAATAATGATGAGAGCATGAGACTCAAATTGAATTTAGTAGTGAAGCGGTTTCTAGCTTTACCATTGATTTGATTATTGAAACTGACTAATTTATTTTGGTCCTCTTCAATTTGAGGTTTTGTTATAGGGGAGACAAATTTCTGAACTAATTTGTCCTCATCAATTTTGTTATATTCCATTATTGTCCATTTAAGAAAATACAAGATCACTCTTCAAACTCTCATTGGTGCTTGTTGTTGCTCTTCAAACTTCACCATTATTGTCATCAAGCATTCTTCAATGAGTTTTACTTTGCTCTTCTTGCCAGGCTTATTTGGGTTTCTAATTGATGTGAGGAGTTGTTGATAGATGATATGTAAATATGTAAGCCCTGATGAGAGCTTGAGGTCCACTTTTTTTTCAATGACAAAGCAGATTAAATTTAAAAGTCAATCTAATAGTAAGAAAAATGAAACCAAATTGAGGGTTAAGGTCCAATTTTTTTCTATATTTTTTTTCAAGGAGCGCTAGACATCATATACTTTTAAACAGGACAAATTTTTTTCTGAACTATTTTTAAGGGAGCAAAAATTCCCTTCTGTCAAATATCTATTTCTTCTCCCTATTATCTGATGACTTGTCAAAGTGTGGGCCCCAGAAAAAAATGTCCTTCTCACCATCGTCTTCATTCTTCTTCTCCCCTTCATTGTCACGTTTTTTTTTTTTCAAATAGGATCAAGTGTTGAGCTTGAGCCATTGATTTTGGTTTCAATTTTGTGATCTCAACTGAATCCATTGCATAGGCAAAACCTAATTCAATCAACCCATCAAGCAAGAGAACTCAAAACATAGGCCACAATGCCGCCGCCAATAGGCCTTCGACAATGACATAATCACAATTATCTTCAAACATCTTTTTGTTGGCATAGGAGAGAGTTGATTTTGGAGGTGGGGTGTGGAGCTCACTGAAGGTCGGGTGAAGAGCTAACAAGGTTGAAGAAAAATGAAGCAAAGCTCATCGACAATGGATGAGAAGATCATTGATGCTAGGGTGAGAAGGTTGCTAATAATATGTTCTGTTGCTTTTACCACTGCCAGCAATGATGAATCCATCGATTGCCACTACATCGTCGACCAATGGTGGTTCAACTTCGCCATTTCCTCCAAATCACTACTTCTACATCTGGAATGTTGCCACCATTGCAACTGGAGGAGAGAAGAAGAATGAAGAAGATGATGCCATGTAGATGGTCAGAAGGAAGTTTGATTAAGCCAAGTCAGATTTTTATGGGCCCCATGCCTAGACAAGTCAACATATAACGGGAGAACAAACAGCTATTTAATAAAAGGGAATTTTTGCTCCCTTAAAAAATAATTCAGGAAAATTTTACCCCAGTTAAGAATATAGGGTGCCCAACGCTGTTCGGAAAAAAAAAAATAAGGACAAAATTGAACTATAATGCAATATGTAATATTAATGGATGTGATGTGAACACATAGGTGACACTCCCCAAAACAAGAAGCTAAATTTAAAAGCATATTACTTTAAATCCAAAGATGATCGCTACATTTGGTAATTCTATTCATTTCTCTTCCTTTAGAACTTTAAAGAACGTACTTAAACTGATGGTCGGTGCCGAGGATGTCTTCAAAGTACAAAGCATGTATAAAGACTTCAAATTAATATAATGTTGGTAAAATTGAAGCGACATTTATAGGACATACCCTAAAAAATAAATACTAACTTCTTAGAAAAAATTACACCTAAGTTTCATAAAAAAGAATTTATTATTAAGAGATTTTATGAAATTCACAAAATACTCCCAAATTTCAAATCCTACATATTTACAATTTAGCTAAGGGCATTTACAACTTATCTAGGGTATTTATAACTTGTAATAGTAAATGCTAAATGCTAGTTCAAAACAGTAAATGTATCCATATCCAATACAATGCTTATAGGATATTTCATATGTATCTTATATTTTAACATTTCTAATATGATTTTCTTTTTCTAAAAAATTTTATGATGTCACTTAAAAATTTGAAAAAACACTTAATATTTTAATTGATTGTTATAAATATTCTTATATTACTTTAGAAATTCTTGTTTAAAAATAAAATACTTATATCTATATTATAAAACGTTGAAATATATATTATAATTATAAATATCCCCATATCTGTATCCTAAAATTTTAAAAATTTGTTATATCACTTTATCATACTGGATACTCGTAGCCGTATCTCACCTAACTTAGGTTATAAATGCCTTTAGCCAAATTATAGATATGCAATATTTGAGATTTGAGAGTATTTTGTAAATTTTATAAATCTTTTGGTAATAAATTCTCTTCTGTGAAATCTAATGTAATATTTCCTAACTTCTTTCAGGTTGACATTCACTAAATCTCTTAGGAACATGTTCAATTCCAAAATTCTGTAGCACCCATAAGGTAGAAATCATACCACAAGGCATCAAGAACAGATCATCAAAAACAATGAAACATGTGATTTCTCGAAGATAGCCAGTGAAGCGATTTGAGAGCTACTTGTCATCAAAGTCATACATTATATAATTTCAATAATACTTTTTCATTGGGTTCAACAGCAGTTCCTTATAACTATCTGAATTAAAATACTTGGGATCTAGATTTTCTACACTTTCAAGTAGCAAGGTTATGCTGTTAAATTTGCAAGGCTGCACAAAACAGTCCTTACTAATAAGAAGTTTAGAAACAGTTCCCAAGAGGGCAATGTAAAGATGCTTAAGAGAACATCATCAAAGTCCTTCCCTGCTTCAGCATACAGTACTTTATTTTTCTTCTTGTCTACTATCAGAGTCAAAGAAATCTGCTTCTGGTTTTTGGATGTAGCCATTATCATGAAGAACCAAAAGTCCTAAAGTACTAGTGTATGTCAGATGATTCTCTACAAGTTTAATGGAGGATGCTATAAATCATTTTATATGTAGAAGTTATGCATTGGTGATTTAATTTCATGCAGAATCAAATATAGACCGACAATGAAACTTACCCCCAAAGCATCGAATTTGGGATCAGATAAAATTAATGATACAGATAATTAATAACATAAGAAATAGATCATCAGCATCCTTCTCAGAAACCATGAACGTTACTTGTTACTTTTTCCTGATGAAGTAAATAGAGTAACTTTTTTAAGGTGCAACCTGATATTCTTAATTATAGTATCGCCGGAATTACAAGAATGTTCAACACATCAAGCACGAGTAGACTGCATTGCAAATTTAGGTAACATGAGTTTTAACTTCAAAAATTACTATCAATAATTAATTAATAATGGTCATTCTTACAAAGACTAGGGTCATGTTTGGTTACCAAACCAACTACCTGGGAGGCATAACTTATATCGATAATTTAATTATTATTGCGTTACCGCATATCAATGTGATGAGATTTCAGATCAGATTCCATTAAAGAATTATTCAAGAAAGAAGCCACAGAAGATAAATTAAATTTGAATATTATTTGATTTAAATATGATTTTAGTTTGTTGTTATATGATTTAATATTATTTGAATATTATTTAGAATAGGTTTTAGGAGACTCTATTTAGATATCTAATTCTTTAGACTTTATTATATTTTATTTAGATTCAAATTTTATTTAGTTTTTAATTATCTAGTTATCTAGATTTCAATCATGTCTAGCTTTATAAATATGTCTAGCAACTCAAAAGATAGCATATCATGAATAAATATAATTTCTTAAACCCTTTAAAGATTCTTTTAAGCATAGCTATTGAGAGAAATATAAAACAAGATTCTTGTTCTATATCATCTTGATAGATTTATTTTGGGATAATGTAACTTTTAGTTCCTCAAGTTTGACTCAATTATTGATTTGGTCCCTCAAGTTTGATTTTTATTGATTTAGTCCCTTAAATTTACATCAATTATTGATTTATTCCTTACTGTTTAAAAAGGAAGCAACTTTGTTAAAATTCATTGACATGGATCACATAATATTGATGGAAGCCATGTAGATAATATTAATGACAAGAATTGTCATTATTTAGTTTGAAGGAAAAAAAACTCTAAAGTTTAAAAAAAAAACAAGTGAACAAAATACAATATAAAGGATTAATAAAAATTAAATAATTTGAGGGCTAATTTATTTTTATTTAGCTGTATATATATGTCAAGTTATTAATATATTTTTGCACATTAAATTATTTTAAAAGTCAATTTATGTTTTAAAACTTAAAAGACTCACATGATAATTTAAAAAAAAATATAAAGGATCAATTAATATAGATTAAACTTGAGGGATTAAATCAATAATTGAGATAAATTTGAGAGATTGAAAGTTTCATTATCCCATTTATTTCTCTTATTTTCTCTTGTTATTTTGAGCACCTATCAATTTGGCATCAAAATCTGGTTAACCATAGTTACTGAAACTATCAGACCTCCTGTCATCCAATCCAACAACACAACCTTAGATACAGAAAACCTAGAAAATCCAAGCCCAACTACACCCGACCATTTGGCTGTAATTGCATCACGCCTTGAGAACCTAAAGTAATAATTAACTTTAGAAAAAATAAAATTCCCAAATCTCAAATATAAGGTTTTATTAAAAATTCTAAATTCTAATTTCAAGCTTAAACCCCAAAACTAAACCATTAGGACTTCAATGATACTTCAATCAAACCCAAATCAATCATTAAATTCTAATTTAATCGGTATAGATATCATATCCATAACAAATCATAAATTTTTAAATT